TTGCTTTCAACTGAAATTCAACTGGCCTATGCGCAAAAACAGCAAATGGGTTCAGTTTTCTTGGACATTAAGGGGGCTTTTGATTCTGTTTGTATCGATGTCCTTTCGGATAAACTCCACGATAGTGGGCTTTCACCAATTATGAACAACTATTTGAGCAACTTGTTGTCTGAGAAATATATGAGCTTCTCTCATGGAAACTCGACAACTTCACGAATTAGTTACATGGGTCTCCCCCAGGGCTCATGTTTAAGCCCCCCTTCTTTATAATTTTTATGTAAAAGACATTGATGGTTGTCTTGATGAAAATTGCTCGCTAAGGCAGCTTGCAGATGACGGGGTTGTGTCCGTTATAGGGCCAAGTGCACCGGACCTGCAAGGACCATTGCAAGATACCTTAGACAATTTGTCTACTTGGGCTATGAAGCTGGGTATCGAAAATCGTTAGTTTCCACCGGCTGCTTCTACTGCACGCAACATGCGAACATTTTCTAATGAATGAAAAATAATGGCGGATGAAAGCTAGAATTCCAAATCTCGGTAAACAATCAATGGTAAAACGAAATCTCGGCATATCAGCTCACCGATGTCAGTGAATATATTGTTTGCGTTGGTACTCGGCATCCAGTATTGCCGAGTTTCGGAAAAAATAGAAGCAAGCCGAAATTTCAGTTTGCAGTAGTACTGAATAACTGTTGAATTTTTTTTTTTGCTGAATTCTCTGTAAATTACAATTATGCCGTGCGTAGCCAGAGGGGGGCAGGGGGTGACTATCCCCCCTAAACTCAGCAACACAAAGGCTTTCAGGGAAATGGCGTTCGGTGAAATGGCATTCGGTAAAATTTTCCATAGTAATTTTTTTTTCGCTTCTCCCTAGCTTGAAACCTGGCTACGCCCTTGCTAGCAGGTTATATGTATTGCCGAGCTCGAGAATTATTTGTAAGTGATTATGAGATTTATCAAACAAAATTTTTATTTTCTTCTATTTTCATGCAAAATTTTGATTGCTCCATCAAAATTTGCCTATTTTTAAAATTGGTTGGAGGTAAGCTCATGGAAAACGCATTTTCAAGAATAAATTAAATATGTCGGCCAGATATAATTATTTTGGTGAATTAAGAATACGTAAAAATTGAGCACTTTCGAAATATTTTAGAGCCTCTAGTTACCGAGGGGTCCATTAATTAAACCTTTACCAGTCGGTTTTTCTAGTTTCATAACTAGAATTTCTGAATGAGTAAAAAAAATGGTTTTCAAGAACCTCGTGCAAAAAGTGGACTGGGTTCAGCGAGGATTGTTCTGGTTCATCTACGCTAGAAAGCGGTGTTGGCAAAATCAGAAGCCAATTGGTATTTTCCCGCTTTCATGGGCTCGCAATATCACGCGTGAAATTGGAACAAAATATTATGCTTGATATTGATTTTACAAGCTCCTTTGATATTGCGAGACTATTCACAACGTGCAAACATCAAGCTGAGAGTTGACTCGACACAAAAATGATTCCATTGCACATCGTTTTCTTAGAAAGAGAAAGCATAGTTTGCTATCTCTTTTTAATCATCACCGATAGCAGACGCGAAAGGACTGCTGCAAGCTGATATGGAAGTTTCGGTTGCATTCGGGTGTAAAGCAAAAATCATTAAACTCAATCTCACCACAGTTTGGTGAGATTTGCAGTTGGTGAGTTTTGTTAGCTTGATATTCCGAGCTGCGATATCACAGCTTGCAAATCAACCGCAGATGTTTGTTCGTTGATTTTTGTCTACGAAAATCAAGCGTGATCTTGGGCGTTGATGAGATTTGATTTTTTGATATTTTTCCAACACTGCTAGATAGTATAACTCATGGCTATTACCGACTTACCTTACCAATCAGGCTAAGGTCTTGTTGTACTCAGCTGTCCGAAGAAGTCGTCTTAACTCCACTCGATCCATGGCCACACTTCGTCAGCCTCGTAGTCTGCGAAGGGTCCGCAGGTCGGACAGGTTGCCCGCTGCGCGCCTGTTCTTCTTGTTCCTGTTGAGTCGCTTTCGAGAACCATTTTCACTGGGTCGTCGTGCGGCATTCTTACGGCGTGCCCAGCCCACCGTAGTCGCCCAATTTTCGCTATGTGAACGATGGATGGTTCTCCCAGCAGCTGGTGCAATTCGTGGTTCATTCACCTCCTCCACGTTCCGTCATCCATCTGCACTCCGCCGTAGATGGTACGCGTTGGTCCTCCACGAGCATAGTCCAGGTCTCGTGGCCGTAGATGACCACCGGTCTAATCAGCGTCTTGTAGATAGTCAACTTCGCGCAGCGGTTGTTTTGTTGTTTTTCAGCCAACCGATCTCCTCATCAACTTCTTGATGATCAGGGCCCGGTAGCCTGTCGTCTTCTGCGCGTGCTCCAAGGTATGGTGCCGTGTCACCTTAGTTTTCTACTGCATCACCGTTGAGGTGCTCGTCATAGTACTGCTTCCACCTCTCAATCACCTCACACTCGTTCGTGAGAAGGTTACCGTCCAAGTCCTGGAACATATCGGCTTGCGGCACGTAGCCTTCCCTTGACGTCCCGTTGCGAACAGCCATCGTACACCTGCTCCAGCTGCGTGGGGTCCCCCTTCGTGTGGGCAGTGCACGTTGATGATGCTGTAGTTGGAGAAACGGCCCTTAATCCTAAACTTGCACATCCTCGCGTTGATCGGCTGCCAACCAATCATGCGTTGGCGCATCTTACCCAGCACTACAAAGCCGGTACCCAGCTGGTAGAAAGTAGCCGCTCGATGCAAAGTTCCTGCAGTGCTACGACTTCGAAGTTCCGTGGTTGAAGTTCGTCATAGATTAACTTATCGCAGCCCAGGATGCCGAGCGATTTGCAGTTCCTAGTTTCCAATCGTAGTCCTTACTTCTTCCAATCGTAGTCCCAACCCCCTGTTTTGCCGCTGGCACTAGGACGGTGATCAGCCACTTCTAACATGGAGCAGACGCTCGGGTTTGGTGAAGCATTGCTTCTATCACCGTACCATAATTACCACACCAGTGTTCACGTCGCACGTCTTTACTTTGCTATAGCCGGACTGGCAACATTATCCAGGCTACGTGACCCAGCTGTGTCCATGTTTCAGCTGATAGTCTTTTGTTATCATATGACTCGGGGAGGCGTGAGGTAGAAACTTGTGAGGACCAGAGCTAGGTATTCCGCTCCTTCCAGGTTGTCAAGTCACCATTTTGTAGCCCATTTACCTTTTACCGTCAGGGGGTAAATAAAGTCCTTGAGCACTCTTTATTTTATAAGGATACATCATGTATTAGGGCATCGTTTGACCAAAATTGAGTACTCATCGGATTTGTTTACCCCCTATTTGTAACACAGCGTTACAAAAAAAAAAAAAATTAATGATCTTTTCAAGTGACCTATGGTAGGTTGTTAGTCTAGTCGAGTACACCATGAAATCATATTTGAAATTGTTCAAACACTCCCAAAATTTAAAGTTATTGTCAAAAATCCAATTATGGGTTAGTGATCACATACTATCAAAAGTAACGGAACCATTTCTCAACCAAAAGTCGATCCGAGTTGATCCTGAAAAGTGATTAGCATTTTATTGAAGCGATGACTGACTTGTACTTGACTTTGCAACTTTTTGTTCTTATCTCCGGAACCAAATGTCCAATTGGCATTAAATTCTATGCGAGCCAGATGCAAATAAACTGATACCGGTTGAACTCTAATCATTTAAGTCATTTCCGAGAAAAATGAGTGCGTAACACAAGTACGGCACACAGACATTATATATATAGAAAATATGTGTTGCTTTGATCGTCAGCTGATAGGTGACCTTCGGCGACATTGTATCGAAGAAAATTTGACACCTCCACGTTGTGCATTGCGGCACGTTCGGAAAAAGATATGGCTCGTCTTTCCGCGCTAGCTAGTGTTTGTTGGATGTCAAGAGAGCATGCAGTGCAGTTGATCTAATGCCACTAAAACCTGTTGAATGTAGCGTGAAACTGGGTGGAGAAATATTTGACCTTTGTAAAACCAGATCGATCATTTTACAACTGTTTTTGCTGTAAGGTTTATCAGCCATGCGGGGTTTATTTTCGGTTCGGTAAATTCAGTTGCTTAGATATCGAAATGATTCACACAACTTTAGGTTACATCACTGTGAATTATTTCCAGCAAAAATCATAAATCAGTGCAAAGAGACATCGGCAAATGGCTGTAGCTGTAAACCGTGCATATGGTTTTAATATTGAAGATCGATAAACGATCGTTGATTGTATCGTAATATGATCATTAACTTACTTATTATTGGACGATGCAAGTTTGCCGCCATTCACCGTGAAGTGAAGAATTTTGGTCAGGAAATACGTACAACTTAGTTGCGTCTCACAGTGGTGACCACTCGCTACATTGTACATAACTTGGTCAGTGATATTACGCCATAGCCAGAAGAAGTGCATCATCGCCCCATCCCCCCATGTGATCGACCGGCCTTTATAGGGCATCTGCGTGGGTAGAGAATACGCGCGTGCGTGCAATTTTGCCATTACCTCATTGAGTGATCGATAAATATTGTTGCTATTTTCAGTGAAGCATGGGGAATATTTTTGTCACCAGGCCACCTACACGCTGGAACGCATTGTCTTTTGGGTCGGATCGACTGCTCGGAGTTGGGTGGTTGCATATGTGCGAGGAAAAGTGTTATGCTTCCGAAGCACGAACTATAAGGGTAGTGAAAACTGAAAGCACTTATCGCGTGGCCTGGACTGGAATACTAAGTGACGATATCGATGCGCGGTTAAACACTTTTCATTTCGTTTGGGAATCGCTGCTGTAGGGTTCGATTGGTTGGAGGGATCGTCGGAAAGCCACTACCAACTACCGAATGGTTTTTAGGGGATCACAGAGTTATAAGCATTCGAGTAGGGACCGACCGGTACGTGTGTACGTCTATATTAATACACATTATGTTAAATCAATCGAAATTGTTTTGAAGAAGGTGTTCGAAAAAAATGAAAACCTTTATCAACGGGCGTGTTATAAATATGACTTGTTGTTTAATTCGGTAGTTCATTGTTGCATTGGTATCCGGTCGGACAAATAATCGAGGCTCGCGGTGGTGAAGTGGATAAATTTCTGGTTTACGTTAAGAGAAGCTACAAGCGAAAGGACGATGAAAATTGTCAAGTGTTTGACGGTGTGCTTAGTGCTTAGTTGTATTCTTGTGAGCACATCTGCTGCGAAGAAGAACAAGCGTGGTCTGTACCATGGCCTGACAGGATACACAGTTCCTCTAGGAGTGGCACATCATCGTCCGTATCATCCTAGCCCGTACGCAAAGTTCCCAGGATTTTATAAAGGATATGGAGGTGCGCTGCCACCAGGATATGCTCTGTTTCCCGGAAGTGCATCGGTGACCTCATACCATCGTAACTTCCCAAAAGTACCCGCAGTCTACGCACCAAACTACTTTCCAGGTTTCGGAGTACCAGCTACCGGTGTTGTCCGACCGATAACGAACCTGTCTCCAGTTGCTCCAGTTGCACCATTGACTCCATCGTTCCCAGCGTACCCGCAAATCCCTGCCGCTCAAGTGCCTACCTACTTTCCGTTTGGCACTCCTCAGCAAACATCCTTCTTTGCCACCTATCCCCAGAAACCATTCATCCCTGTAGCAGTTCCGGTGCCCGAAAAGCCCAAAATTCCATTTGTAATCCAGCAGAAGCCAATTTACACTGCCGTCTCCAATTTCATTCCCAATGGAGTCTACAACCCCACGGTTGCGGTATCCAACCTTTCTCCAACCTATGTTAACATTCCAGTTGGACCAACTGCCTCGACCCCAACCTTGACAACCGCCACGGTGACCCAAACGGCTCAGCAACCTTGGCGTCCGGTTTTGGTGAATCATCCTACGGCAACGCCTACAACGACGACGGTTTTCAAACCCTCGCACAATCTATTACCTCCATTCACTCTTCCAGCTAACGCACAAGGTCAGTATTTCATCAGCAGCACACCGGCCACGCACGTACAAGACAGTCATCAGCAACAGCAGCAGACCCTGTTGGACTTAGAACAAAGTAACCACTTTTCTTCAAAATAACTTCAAATCAACCAGCTAATGAAAACAAACCATTTTCAGCATCCTTCCATCACCAAAGCCAGGAGGATGGAAACGGAGCGTTCAATGGGCAACCGTACGATGTAGCCTCGAACCATGGCCGTTACACGGGCCCTTCCAGTTATGATGTAGACATCACACACAACGGTTACCAGAAGAAGTGAGGAAGGTCCTAGCCTTCTAAATTCTAGGACTGGCTGTCGCTGTCCAATTGCCATTATCGTGTTGCTATTAGTGCATGCATTCCCAATGTAACGATATAGGATAGGTTAAAACTATTAAACTTATTTATTACTTAGAAATGTATGGTCTATACTTTATGTTTGAAGAAAGAAAAACAAAAGACTTCAATTCCGTTCCGGACACGAACCTTTGCGAAGAACTTTCATCCTAACGAACAATCTTTTGTCCAAATCATAGTAATACACTGTCAGATTTTGCTGATTCGATCGAGTCTATCGCTGGGGAACAAGAATTCATTATGGTATACTGGAAAAATCCGAGAAAGAAAGCATTGGCACCATTATAACAATGAACAACGTTTCATATAGACAGGACTATCTCATTTTTGACAATCTAAACACACCCTTAAAACGTCGGCAAACGTGGTCAAATCTGGAGTGAATAGGTCCTTTGTTCATTGAGCGATGGATTTGCAATATTGATGGATGCAGATTAAATTAAAGATTCTACTTGTCATTATTGCGAAAATAACACACTGATTGCGGTAGAAAGCGAATGGAGTTAATCGATTTTATGATCGACAAATGGATTTATGAGCTATTCAAAAAGTAATCGGGAATTATTTCCTAATCCCACACCGAAACGGAACTAATTTGTCATTCAAAGTCACTACTTTAAAAAAAACGTGTAATCAGTGTGTCCAATAGTCCTGCAAACCAAACAATCACAGTTCATATACTACGTCGCACTATTTCATAATTGATCGTGTGTCTGCGCACTGAAAAACGAAATATGGAATCGGAAGAAAGTGAATTGATAACGTAATAATATGCAACCGATGGGACATGTCGCCGCACCGGAACGCCAAAATCATACACATATATGCCCATAAATATAGTTTACATTGGTAAACCGTGCATGATTTGCATGCTAATGAACGTTCGGTGGAAGAGATATGAAGCACGTGTTTAGCTGCGGCTCGGTTGCGTGATATTATTTACAAACTTTCAAACCTACGGCTAATGTTGAGCCGAAGGTTGTGTGCAACGTGTTTCGATTGTTGCCGACCTGTCGGGCGAATAGTAGATGGAAACTTGACGCATCGATCAGAGCAACGAATCATAGACTTCCGAGGACTAAAATATGTACAATAATGCACCGAAATCCAGACACTTTTTAAAGTTGATTATCAATGCCTATACCATGCTCAAAGTCAGGGTTGCTTCCACTCACTTCGCTATAAAAAATGTTTTTCGAAATTATGGAATCATCGAAATTAATCGCCTTTCTTTATCCAGCACACGAAGATTAATGGATTCATTGTTTTCCCACTAATCTGCTTCCCTCTTGGTCGCACTTCTTCGATTTAGATGGGGCAGTAGTGTGCATGAGCATGAGCATGATTGACCGCCCACGGTTGCTACTCTGTTATTGCCAGATCAGCTGTACTTACACAGAGAACCAATAGACGATGCTTGGGACTAGCAATCATCCTCAATGTGTAAAAACTGGTGATCTCAAACTAGACAATACCAGCGCCGGCCGCGCCCGAACGCAGGTCAAGAAAGGAATGGGTAGGAATGTGTTGACGTGACACTCGCTTTGATGGAAGTCGAGAAATCCGCTGCACCTCCACGAGGAATCACTGGGATGTTGGATAAGAGGGTAGGGTTTGCAGCAGGGTTCGTTTTGGTAAACGATAAGCTGAATTGACGTCCTAACGATAGGGAGGGGTTACTGTATAAATAAATAAAAAGGAATGATCTCACTCCAATAACCAAGTGGAGCTGCACCAACAGCAACTGGCCTCTTCGTGGACTTTCTTCGACCCATCGCAGGTATCTCCTTAAAACACAGACGTCAAAATTCCGGATCCATCTCGTCGATATATAATTAATAAAATATAATAAAATACAAACAACCTCGATTTTAGTCACTCAATTTCTCTAAACTCAAGCTATGTATGAATATTTTAATTGCATGGTATGATTGAACTCAACTTTGCCTATTTAATGAATTCACAATCTAAGTAAAGAATCAATTTGCTAAATAATCGAGGTTATTTGAGCATACAAGAGTTATAAAAACAAGTATCCATGAATAATTCTGCAAAGGTAAAACAATTTAAAAACATTGGCCTAATGTATGATGATATTTAATTTATTCTCTGGGTTATCCAAATTCTGATAAAATAAAATGTTAATAACAATGATTTGTTATTTGCTGGTCCTTCAGGATCTACAGGACAACTATTTTCTGTGCCGCTTATGCCTTCATTAAAATCTACTCTTAAGCGACGTTAATAAAAAATAATAAGATTCTCTTGAATTGGTCGCGTCGCGTTGGCAATTATGCACGGCCCACACAAATTAAAAAAAAAATTGCATGGACAATTGTCTACGCAGGGGGGGGGGTCAATAATCCCAAAATCCTGTCTACGTAGTTAATGAACAGCCCCTAAGAGCAATCTTCAACTGGAACGTACTCACCAAATCAATATATCCGGGAGCACATTCCCGATGCTTATTTTCCTCTCGCAAACCCGTCGTCGTCGACGGGAACTCGGTGAGCAATTTTGTGATTCGGAATTTTCACTGAAAAAAAACCGCGAATTCACGAATTTCACCACACCCAACTGCGAAACACGTTCAGACGCACTTTTGGTCGAGGGGGACGACTCTATCTACGATGCAGGAAATATTGTGTTTTGCTGTGGCTAGCTACGCTGAGTAGATAAAGGGTGTCCACAATGAAATTGCCACACACAAAATTGATTCGCAAAATTCGAGTTTTCATCCGATTGCCATCAAACTTTCAGGGATTGAGAAATAACTATTAAACTTCATTTTACCATTTTACTCGTATTTTATTTACAGTCCATACGCAAATGCCCGCACCTTGGCCTTAACCCCGGCCATAAGATTCTGCACAACCTGTGAATCAACCGTTTTTTGCATGTAAACCCATACTTTCTTCAGTTCCTCGACTGTCTTCACTACCTTAGGTCGTTTAAGAAGGTGCTGCTTCATAATCGCCCAGTACTTCTCGATGGGGCGGAGCTCCGGAGTGTTGGGAGGGTTGAAAATTTTCGGCACGAAATTGACCTTATTGTCCGCATACCACTTCAGCACGTCCTTGGAGTAGTGGCATGAGGCCAAATCCGGCCAGAAGATTGTTGGGACGTTGTAGGCCTTCAGGAGAGGAAGCAGCCGCTTCTGGAGGCACTCTTTTATGTACACCTGTCCGTTCATCGTGTCCTGGGTCACGAAAGGTGCACTCCGCTTCCCGCACGTGCAGATGGCTTGCCAAACCAGGAATTTCTTCTCAAATTTGGACATCTTCTGAGTGCGGACATGCTCCGGAACGCTGAACTTATCCTTGGCCGTGAAAAACAGGTTGCCGGGGATCTGTTTGAAGTCGGCCTTCACATATGTTTCGTCGTCCATGATGCAGCATTCAACTTTCGTCAGCATGTTGAGGTACAACTTCCTGGCACGGGTTTTGGCGGACTTGTTCTGCTTCTCGTCGCGATTAGGGACCTTTTGTACCTTGAACGTTCGAAGCCCAGCCTTAGTTTTGGCCTTCTGGACAAAACTTCGGCTAAGGTGCAGCTTCTTAGCCACATCCCTAACGGAGGCGTTCGGATTTCGGTTGAAGGCCCCAACTACGCGGTTGTGATTTTTGGTGTTGTACGGAATACTTTTTCCTTCACTTCTGGGCTTCCGATCGGTGGTCAACCGTTCCTCGAACCGCTTAATCAATCGCGACACTGTGGAATTCGCGATTCCCAACGTTTTAGCGATGGAACGATGCGAGAGATCCTTGTTCTCGTGATGAATGCGCAAGATTTTATCACGCACGAGCTGTTCTTTCGACTCCATTTCCGCGAGTTTTGATCACAGGACTTTAAAACTTGCAGGATGTAAATAATGCACTATGAACTAAATCCACCCAAATTTTCATTAAATTCTACCCAACGGTTAAAAAGTTAGAGCGATTTCATAGTGTGGCAATTTCATCGTGGACACCCTTTAGAAAGAAGATTTATCACCATATTGAAGATTTCCTGCAAAAAGATGATGCGCGATGCAAGTAGATGCGAGAAATGAAAGAAGATTTTTCGAAGATTTATTCGCTAGTGTGAGATTTTTTGAGCATCTAGAATTGAGATTTAGATGTGTCGCCCCCCGCCCCCCGGATGTGTCGCTTTTGGTACACTTTCGATATCAATTTCGTACGACAACACTTATTTTTTTTTTTGCAAAAATAGTTGCAAGCGAACCAACATCAACACCGATCGTACCGAGCTATTTCACGCACATTATCACTCGCGATGCCACTAATTTCTGGTCCGGGAGAAAAAGTTGGAAGGGTTGTATACTAGATACGACCGCAGGGTTGGCGTTGGCGTCGGATAACGTCTGTTATGTGTTGTACTTAATTGTGTATATTATATTTTAGGAATATTCCTTAATAACTCTTTTGCGAAAGTTTGGTGGCCCTGAAAAGGGCCGTTTTGTTGGGCTGATGTTGTTGGGTTTGCTCTACTCTGTCGCCCTGGAGGAGCTTTGGAATGATGTTGGTAGTTCGAAGACAGACAGCATCTCCCCTTCCAGCGTTCCCACACCCCAGTATAGTCCCCAAATTTAAGTGTAACTGTGATATTCTGGAAAGAAATTGTCTTCAAAACTAACTCTTTGTCGAATTATTGGTGGCCCTGAAAAGGGCCGTTTTGGTTGTGGTTTGGGAATGATGGTTATGCCGAGCCTGGGTACCGGATGGCGATTTTGATGAGCGGTTTGCATGCCGGGCGCTTTGCTTCAACCACGAGTGCGGTGAACTCCGGGTAAATATTATTACCAATCAGTAGAACAGCGCTAGGTGGTATGATGAACCGGGAAATCCACTCGAGATGTCGAGAGGGTAGATGGTTGTTTTGGAGGTTGTGATGAGGACGATTTTGGAACGGAACGGGTTGTGCTCGATGATGCATCGTTCTTCTTCACACAGTCTGTGAAGACGAGTTCGATTCTGAAATAAGTTTTGTAGAAATGCTATAAAAATGGAATCTATGGCTCTGCGAAGTGTCGGAAAGGCATTAGAAAATTAATCGTTAAAC